CCCTTCCCCCCTTTATTTTTGAAGACTGAAGAGATAAACTCTGGTCTTAGATGTGGAAATCTTTGTGGGATCATCACATGGTATTTGAGGAAACCCTGCATTCTTATTATTGGATGCATCTGGTACCAACAGCGTCCATCAAAAATGCAGATTAGACAAGGACCAGAAGAAATCAAACACTTCCGCTAAAAGAGGACATCTTACTGCACTGAGTGTCCTGTGTCTGATACTCTATGAAGGCTTTTGATAATTTCATTCTTTTGCAATATTATTATTCACTGTTCCAATGCCAACATAGTGCTACACCTTTCAAAAAAACAGATACAAGCTCTCTGCGTGAATACCTAAAAGGAGTGAACACAAAGACTTGACGGATACTTTAGGCTGACAGGTTTTCAGAAGCTGTAGTGATCAGCACATGCAAGACGTATAATAAAATATTCAAGGAACAGTAGGAATGGTCTTACTCAAGGCAAACATAAGGTTTGAGCTCAATATTTATAAACACCAGGAAGACACATGCTGTCTTGTTTCCCATGATGTTGCTGGTATCAGTGTTTTGATAGGTATTTTAGACTAGGGAAAAGTATGAAAAAGCATGACAGTAGACTTTTAGAGACTAAGAGATTTAGGGATTAGCTGATGCACCAAAGAAAGATGCTCAAGAAAGAGTCAAAGAGGTAGACCCATCGCTCAGCATGGACACAGTTGCCAGATTAGCTAATTTACAAATGTTAATTTACAGACATTAAAACTGTTCTCCCTCAGAAGCCATGCAGAGATTTGGTTAATCAGTATGAGAGCAGGGGGTCAGTGAGAACTTTCTTAACCTTATCAGAAAAGCTGCTTTCACTGAAGGGAAACTGCCCTGGGTCTTTGCTTCAACCTATGTTTATTTAAGACTGAAGCACCTTTTTTTTTTTTTTTTTTTAAGACTACAGAGATAAAGCATCTTCTCCTGTCCCTAGCAGGCAACTACATGTGCTTCATTGAATGCTGATGAGGGTAAGAATTTGGGTGTTTCTTACTATATATGGGCATTTATAGACTCACCTTATATTTCTGCTGAGGCTGACAACCTCACTGAGAGGACAATATGCTTAAGATCATCTATAGTTTTTCCTGTCTATGCACAGTGCCTAAAGTAACAGAACCTCTGTTCTTACCTTAGCTTCATATATGCCACTGCAGTGTAATCTACGGTTATTAGTACTAGCAGTAAAATATGATCACCAGAAAATATACAGAAATGTTCAGCTCAAGTATATATTGTAAGAGTGGAAAGCAAGAAATAGACAGAGGAAAGAAACAGGCATATAAATTTCTACCGACAAAATGACAAAATAGAAATCAGAAAATAATATTATGATTATGTTATGAGAAGAAAAGGCAGATAAATGAAGAATACAAATAGTTATCCTGGTTCATTCACAAACATTTATATTGGAAATAGAAAACCTAGCTGGGGTTACCACTGGGAATCACAGAAATTCTTCAAGTACAATAAAACTCAGAGATTTTGTCTTAACCCCAAATCAAGCTGCAGGGTAACCTTTGCAAAGCAGGATAACATTTTTCAATCTATTATTTTTCATTCTGCCTAAATTTCTGGATAAGACTAAAATACCCTGATAAAAGCTGTACTTGTATATTTCCAAATCAGCTGGAAACAGAGAATCACAGGGAAAGTATGCTATTGTCAAATTTTCAGTTCAATGTAATGAAATTCAGGTAAGAAGGATAATCATCTAAACTACAGTGTTTTCTTACACTGTACTGAACAACCTGCTAATACAAATCATCATTATTTAGGCTATCATAATATAATTATACAAAAATTAAAGTAATTTGAATTCTGTTAGTAACTTTTAATATTTTATTGGTCATTATAGATGAATAATGCATCAGTTGTGGTCAAATATTGCCCTATGATACTCACTAGAATGACGCACGTATTTTTTTAAGTACACACACATACAGTAACAGACTACAGGTGGAACAGTGCGTGTACAGACCATACAAAAAAAAAAATAAAATAGAAAGCTATATTGGTTTCCCTGGAGTGGACATGCACAAGTAGGCTAAAACCCACTGCCTGCAAGAAAGAAAAAAAAAAAAATCCACCTTCTTTTTTAACTCAAGTTCTAGAAAACAGTATAGATCCAGAGAGCTGTGAATTAGGACAAACACAAGCCTAAAAATGATGTCTAAACTTCAGCAAATTTGTCAAGTACTTTGATTGAGGTTGAGAATGAGTCCAAATGGGTATACAGGAAGCAATCATTTTTTCATGAAGAATACGTGCTTTACTGTGCACACAAATTCTTCCTCCAGAAGACTCTAAATTACAGTATTTATGGAATCTTAATGATCTAAACACAGTTGGAGCCTGAAGGTCAAGGCTGCAGGCTGCATCCTAAATTTCTGTTTACAGATGAAGCATAGTATTTATTGCTGCACTGCTTGCGCTGCTATAGTTAAAGGGCTGCCAGCATTTCCATTATAAACCACTATTTCAGGGGTTTATAACTCGCCTATCAATCTTCTGACTGGGATGAAACACAGCATACAAGGTCCTGGCTGTGAGACTGATTTTCTCATTTGTTTTTCTTTATCAAATTACAAGAAGAAAATCCTAATGTTATACAAGGAAAAAAAATCACATCAGTTTTTTTAAAGTATTTCTAGTGTTGCTGTGATGCAATTACAGCTTCAGAACATAAAATATATGTCTGAATCAATTAATAGAAGAACTTTCAATTCCTAAAAAGTGAAAAATAACTCAAATAAGGACATATCATTAGATGTTGGGGTTTTGTTTTGGGGAAGAAACTGTGCTACAGATTTTTAATGGCAGGAAAGTCAACCTCGATTCTGTCTGCATTAAAGGTAAATCTACACTACGGTTACACATCTTGGCACAGTACAAAGAATGCATTCTTTTAAAATAAGTGTCTAAATGATAATGATACACAAGGTGTACTCTGCTGTTACATGCTCTAGTTGACATTAGGCAAAATAATTTAAAGTCAGATCAAAAGTTTTTCCACAAACTACAGTAACCTGATCATCTACAGCTAAACCTTGTATCAAACTTAATGAAATCAAGAGGGGAAAAATTACAAAACTTTCACTTCTACACTATCAACTTTGCCACGGTGAATACTGTGCCCTGCACTGAAGTACTGCTGAGAGCAGGAAGGTGAAAAAATTAATCCACATATTTGTTGCATACCTAGCAATTGCATCTTGTGAATAACAAAATCAATACCACAAATAGTGCAAGAATTTAAATATTAGAAGACCTCAAAAAACCTTCTTACTGGAATCCTAACTTTTGGCATCATTTATTTTGTTAAATAAAGAACCGGGACATATTCTACAATGTGTGGTTTTGATGCACACAGACACACTACATTCTACTATTCAGTTTTATGGCCCCTTTGCAACACTGTACCAGTTCAGACAAGAAATACAGCAGTGCTAAATCTGGAATATTAGACTTTATTTAATCACATTTTGGTTTATTTTTTTATATTATAAACCCAGTCACAGCCAAGATGCCAATTAATCCCTCCCCAAATATCACTCTTAAATTTTATTATAGCTATAGAGATTTTTTTTTTGTCTGTTTTTTTTTGTTAAAAGATGGCTGCGTTTGTTTTATGCCATTCCTAATGCTTGGACTCTCTTCCTCTTGATGCTGTAGCTTTCTGCTTTTCTTCCACAGTCTTTCTCTATCATCTGTCTATTTTGTGCCCACTTGAAACAATCATTTGCACAAGACATTCAACAATTTTTCCCATCAATTGCAACAAAGTACCAGTTTATTACATTAGTTTGGTTTGGTTGCATGTACATTTATATTCCTAAATAACATAGATGCTTCATTCAGTTCTGTGTCGTGGCCCCTGTCTGTCTCCTGTGTATGTATGTCACTTCACTTCCAAGCTCTCCTTTTTGAGTATGCAAACCAGTTTCCCCTGAAGTAAACCCTGGGTATAGCTTTAGGAACACTTTTACTTGAGGAAGCCTCCTAATGGGCACTATGGATAAACCTATGGATAAACCACTGGCTACCTTCAGCCACAGAGTCCTTCAAAATACTCCCAGTAGGCTTCGTGAAGCCAAACTGCCCACATATGCCCTTGCTTAATAGCCCATTCAAAACATACCCTTGGGGTCAAGCTATGAAACACTACATCAATGGGCTGCAGTGCAGTGGTTTGGACTGCTCGTACTGAAGCACCTGCTCACACTTTGTTACTTCTTCTGAACAGCCAGAGGGCCAGTCATTATTCAGAGCAGGCTTGGCCAGTTTTTACTTTTCTAACTTTTTTTAAGGTTTTTTTTTTTTTTTTTTTTTTGAGGTATCTATGGTAAGAGATACAGACCTGTAGCCTTCTTTCTTAGAAAGTGAAAGATGGAATGATTGTGACTTCTTAGAGTCAACCTGGGTAGTGCAGCTGACTACATATTGGAGAATAACTCTAACCAGGATGTTATGAATTGTGACTGACAAATTCACTCCACCGTACTGCCTTGGACTGGTTGAAATGCACCCAAGAGCACTGCTATATAATTAATTATGTTAAATAATGCTACACAGTATCTTGTATAATTCTGAATCTTCAATGAACTGTAAAAAGTTTTAAATAAAATATAGATAAAGCTTGTCAAGCAGTATTCGACTTCAAATATTTTCTTCTTCTGAAAGCTTACTGTACTAACAGAAGTATCTGTCATGCTGCTTGAGCTGCCATCACAATGTACATCTTGTTAGCAGTGATGTCATGACCTAAATGCTACAGTGCTGCATTTTAATAACTTCTTGTATTGTAATGAATTAATGTTTTTACAGAAAGGATGAGATAGGAAAAAAAAAAGCTTTAGTCTTGGAACCTCAGATAATTTTTTTTTTAAAAGCAGGACAGTTTTGAAAACCGAGCAATGTGAGATTACTGCTTTTGCTCAAATGAAGAATGCATTGAGCACCATACCTGTAAAGTCCTGGAGGAGCTCGATGAATCAGGAAGCTTTTCTCCAGACTTTGTAGCACATCATTGAGCATCCTCACTCTGATAGGAGCTCGCTCCTTTGGGTCATTAGCTGGGCGCATCTCATCAGATTGGAACAGTTCTGCAGTGTCCCTCAGACGTGATGCCACTGCAAGTAACTGAGGAATGTTTACTTCATCACCTAGAAACAGGAAGAGCAAGACAGTTTCTAGTGATTGAGAGAAAAACACTTATTACTCTCACTTAGAAATCAAAATTAATAGTCCAATTAAAACCCAAACCTCTTTTCCCTTGTGAGCATTATGTAATGAATTAAGAAAAGTCATAGATCATTGTGCATAATGATCTATATTTCAAATATGATCTGATCTATTTTGCAAAGATGGTCAATTTGGGCTGTGATGTTTTAAGAACTAATAAGCTATGAGGAATTACTTGCAATTTTTATTCTGATTATATAAAGAGTCTTAAATGTCAGCTATGCCTTTTCAATAGGGAGGGTGAGATGAAGGAAAATACGTACTCAATATTTATAAATTAAGCCAACCAGGCCACCCTTTTAAACATAAAAATCCTGTAAATCATTCCCACTTCTTCTCCATAGCAAGTATTTTTCCCCTAAACCAACAGATTTTACTTTACAGTTCCAAGTAAAAAACACTCTACATCACACTGTAAGCCAAAAACTCTTTATAAAACTAATAATCAAGCCCCCTTTTAATACTTAAGTACAAAACGTGCAAATGTCTATGGCTAGTGTTACCACCGAGAACTAAGGATACAGCTTTGAGGCCATCAGTAGTTTTTTATGGCAACATACTGAACTTCACTACCAAGGGCAACTGTGATTCACACTCTTCTCAAGTTGAGAAGCTGGGAGTGGAAGTGCAAATGATTCTTAAATAAAATAATGCTTTAACTAATAATGTCTTAAAACAGCTTGTGATACTTCTACAGAGAAAATAAACTTGCAAGTGTTACCTCACTTGAGAAAACACCACCACTTTATTGTATTTTGTATTCTTTGTCTTTTTGTCTCCAATATGAATCATGATGAATCATCTAAAATTGCTGTTTAGTTGTTAAATAAATAACATTGCAAGTACAAGAAAGTGACTCAAGTGTATGTATATTCTTGAACAGAGAATTACACTGTTGAATTTCATTACACTTGCTAAATATAACTGGATTTTATTCAGAAAGAGGTTACTCCAAATAGATATTTATTTTTACAGACACTGAATACAAAAGCTTTTCCCTGTGTAACTGATTGCTCTTATGAAAATTACTGCTCAAGAGTAACATTTTTAAATTGTGTTTGTGCCCTCTGGTATGAATGCACTTGCCTATGAGTACCTACAGGAGAATGAGCACAGACAAATCAGCAGCTGAAGGCATGACACTGGCTCACCATGCATGTGAACATGTGTTTTCATGTAGGAGAGGGGGAAAAGTGCTTCAGGTTTTGATTAGCTTGCAAATTCAGGATCAGCTACGGTGTGTTGCTGTATTCAGTAGGAAGATTTTTCATGCTCTGCGAAATTGGATGATCAGGCCTGGCAGTGAAAAATCTGAATGGGAAAGCTTTGTAGAAAGTGCCCTAAAGGGGGCAGAAACATAAATCCACAGACATTTATAGTGCAAAGAATATGTTGCCATCAGCTTCAATTTTGCTACCATGACAGCTACTGTCCAAGCAAACTAATCTGGTGTTATTACAAGTCTCTTTTCAAAGAGGTTATCATTAAAAAGGCATGTTGCAACATATTATTTTGCATGTCAATACAGAGTGAGGCTGGAGAAGAGAAGGCTCCAGGGAGACTTTACTGTCATCTTTCAATATTCAAAAAGGGCTTATAAGAAAGATGGGGACAAACTTTTTAGCAGGGCCTGTTGCAGTAGGACAAGGGGTAATGGTTTTCAACTAAAAGATGGGAGAATTAGACTAGATATAAGGAAATTTTTTTTTACAAGGGTGGTAAAACACTGGAGCAGATTGCTCAAAGAGGTGGAAGATGCCCCATCCCTGGAAGTGTTCAAGGCCAGGTTGGACAGGGCTCTGAGCAACTTGTTCTGATTGAAGATGTCCCTGCTCATTGCGAGAAGGCTGGACCAGATGACCTTCAACAGTCCCTTCCAACCCAAACTATTTTATGATTCTCTGAAATTACTCATGATTTTGTACACAGCTGCTAAAACATATACGGCCTACTGATGCAGAAAAGATGTTCATCCTTTTCCTTCAGCAGCAAATACTTTGTCTATGGAAAATGCATTTTTCCATATTTGTTTGTTTTTTAAAGGGTGATGAAAGGTTTGCCAGTACTAACATATAACATCCTTGAAAGATACTCAAGATGTCAGTGTCACGTGGTAAAGAACATATTTCTGTCATACATGCAGACAACTAACTATTGCATTTTTCACCTCTGTAGCAGTCAAGAATAATGGGTGCGAACAGTAGTGAGGGAACCTTCCTGAACAATGCAGACAGATGGGAAAGTAACTCTGAAAAGCACCCAAAAAGATCAGGGAAATGCGGTCAAGCAGGTAAAATGATGCCAAATGGAAGACTAGCAGACAGCTGTAGGCAACGACTATGCAGCCATCAAGTAAATGACAGCGAAATGTTTCTCTATTGATTTTTCTAAGGATGGAGAGTTTAGACTGATATTTTGAAATGTATGGGTTGTGCCAGGGCTATGGAAAGTCATGCTGACTTTCTGGAAATGGCTTCTCATAAACCAGATTATTTTTAGACTTCTGCTAGCACTGCCTACTATTATCACTCCAAGCACTACAGCTGCTGTAACATCTGTAAAACATCCATTCTGGGGAGAAGAAAGGGCCTAACTGATAGGAAGCAACACACAACTGACATCGTATCAGCCAAACACCTTTAAATTACAGCCCTTGCTCTCTGTGTACAGGGAAAATCAGAAAATCTCACCCACACTTAATTTGTCTTCATAGGCCTCTGTCGTAGCTTAAACCCAGCCAGTAACCCATCACCATGCAGCCACTCCCTTTCCCCCTGGGTGGGATGGGGAGGAGAACTGAAAAAATGCAAACCCAGCGGGTTGAGATAAGAACAGTTTAATAACTGAAGTACAATGTAATGCTACTAACTAATAACAACAAGAAGGGAAATAACAAGGGGAGAAAACAAAACTAAAAGGGGAAGGGAAAAAAACAAAAAACAAAACAATAAACATAAGTGATGTACAATACAATTGCTCACCACCTGCTGACTGATACCTAGTCTGACCTGAGCAGTGATCAGTCGCTTCCTGGTAACTCCCCCCAGTTTATATACCCAGCATGATGTGCTGTGGTATGGAACACCCCTTTGCCTAGTTTGGTTCAGGTGTCCTGTCTCTGCTCTCTCCTGCCACCTTGTGCCCCTCCTCGCTGGGAGAGCATGACAGACAGAAAAGCCCTTGATTGTGGCAAGCACTCCTGAGCAACAACTAAAACATCAGTGTGTTATCAGTGTTGTTCTCAGACTAAAGCCAAAACACAGCACTGCACCAGCTACTAGAAAGAAAATGAACTCTAGCCCAGCTGAAACCAGGACAGCTTCTCTCAGCTAGTACACATGAGAGATGCTTACAGTTCATCACATTTGCTTACCAGCTACAGAAAACTTTGATGGCAGTTAAGAGTATCTTAGCACATTTGCCTGGTGCTACTTAGCCACAGTCTAAGGCTGGGGCAATAGGTATCAATTTCTGAAAGGTCTGCATGAGCCTAGGTGGGCCCAGGGATTTGTAATTATGAACAATACCAAATTCTACAGCCACAGCACCTAAAAGACAGACATGGCTAGTATCAAACCTGGTTACCTTTATTTCTGTAAATTGTGAGATTGAACTTGTCATTGCTGACTCAGGGAAGTGGAAAGGTACAGAAAAGCTTTTAATCCTAATGAGACACTTTGACCCCTCCATCATCAATCCCTGAAGTTTGCTGTAAAATATACTAAATTTTGAAGAGGCTCTAATCCAGTGCAAGACAGGCTACAAGGAGCAAGTCCAGACTGCACAGTCCTATAAGCGCTTAGTGTGTAGTATGTGTATGTTTTGAATAAAAATGCTTACATATAATCAAAATACTTGTATACAAATGCTTATACATTTGTACTTGCATATGCATACAAAATACTTCAACTGAAGTGCTTAAAAGTACCATTTGTATCCTTGACACATCAGATTTGACATGTTGTCCACACCCTACCTCAAAACATAAACTGGGTTTTCACAGCATGCAAGGCCTAGTGAGATGTTCTCGTATTTAAGTTGCAGTGGGTCTTGATTTTAAGTGTATGAAAGGCTCAAACACTGCTCAACTGCCATGTGTAGATAATGAGAATATTTCAAACTGTCATTTATGAATTTCTCTAAAATATCACAGCTGTCATCAGAGAGATAACAGCCTGAACAGCCCTGGGGATCTGGATTTCAGTCTTGGAAGCCATCTCATATTATTTAGGACCATGAGGTTTACTGTTAAACATCAGAGCATGAGCAGATGCACAAAAAGAAAAGTCTCTCTAGCCAGAACCCTTCTTTTCTACCCAAAAGCAGTAGATTGTTTCCAAGAGTTCTGGTGTGTGCAAGAGGAGAGAACACATGTTGCTTAATAGCCGTGTTACATCTGTAACAGGAACAGGCCTCAAGACAGATGTAAACACGCTGCGGATGACACGGCCCTATGACCTGCCACCCAGCCTACCCTGAGTATAATAAATGGTTTATAAAGTGCTGAGTAACATCCCATTGAATTTAATGGAGTTAACAATACAGACACCCACCACATCATGGAATTAAACCCTTTGGAAACATAAATAAATGCAGTATTAACACATATTAAGACACATGCATCCTTTGGTGAGGACATCCAGGAGATGGCAAAACTGTGACTCAAATATTTACACAAATGATTTAACTTCAGTAATGTAAGAAAATCCAACAGGCAATAAAATGTGTGTTTAAGTGACTGACTGAACCAGATCCAAGAGGCACAAAACTAAACCTAATGAAAAAAAATCTTCTGGCATGTTGTGTGGATTTCCTTTCACCTTTTTTACATTTGCAGTTTCCACCGAGTTGGAGAAGGAAACAGTTTACTACGAGAATGCAATTTTGAATTGTAAATCTCAGACAGCATAAAATCTTTTGAAGAATGAAGAAGTTAATGAGCCATGTTAAAAAAAAACCAAATTCTCAGTTAAGTAAACAGAAGAAAGACACTGTCTTGCTGGTTACCAAACTGACAATAAATATTATTTGACGCAAGTCACAGATAGACATGGAAGTTATGAGAAAAGTAATTAAGTAAAACTCCAAAGTGAACAGCTGGGACAAAATTTATCCTGCTGGCCCCACAGCCTAGAAAATAATTTTCCTTCCCTTGAAGTGGTTGAGGTAAATGATCTAACTGAAGTTAGAAGAAAAAAGTCAGTTTAAATCATTTCCTGTTACTCAAAAGAGCAAAAAGGAAAAACAATAGCAGGCATCTCATGTTCAGTTGAAGAAATACCACCTGATCATCATTCCCTGCCGTGTTTAGCCTGAACTAAACCAACGTTTATATGGCACAACAGAGCTAAAATTACTTGTGTTTTTGTATGCTCACTGATTCCAAACCAGTGCTAGCCTATGGACTCCTAGGTCTTGACAATGATGGATGGCAAAGATTAAAAAAAAAGGCATCACACTTTTATGAATGTGTATTACAGACAAGTGATACTTTATACTGTAGGGAGAGCATGAAAGGCAGGGGAAGCCCCTCAAGACTGCAAAATATCTGTGAGTTTGAGATAAGATTTCACACTCTGATAAACTATAAATAAAGTTTTGGTGTGATTTTATAGCACTTATATCTTTATTTCACAGCTCAAATTCCACAGATTTATATATTGAAAAATTATTTTTGATAGGCATTAGCACACTGCAGGTAATGTGTATCAGAGACTTAATTGGAGATGAGGAAAATAACAATATGGTTTTACATAACTTACGTTTTTCTACTATGTAACAAGAACGTGTTTTGGAGCAGTCTTTCAAATTTTGTGGGGGTACTTGTCAGGGATCTACCTTTTAAGTTCACTGAATTCTGATGAGAATACTGGATTCTGAAATATCTCAGTTTGTACACATTAAAGGAATAATGATAGAGTTTGGCAGCTCAATTATCGTAATATTTAATCTCCAAGGACTAAAGTTCTTACGTGCTCTCCACATCCGTCATACTTTCAACTAGTCACTTAGAAAGGGAAGAAGAGCTAGATACCACTTGTATGCACTAAGATACTAGGAAGCTAAGGAAAAAGAGACAGAATGGGAGGAGGAGGACAGATAACATTGAAGGAGAAAGCTCTGGATGAGTGACACTGGACAATGTTAGAACCCAGACCTCCTTTTCCTCCTTAATGCTCAGGACTGGAACTAAGACATATTATTTTCATAATAGATTACAAGAAGGTTTATTGTTCTTTTGTAGTCTCAATAGTAGCAGAGAACATATCACTAACATGCAATGGGCTTAGCTCCTTATAACATATCAACATTTTTGTATCAACTGTAGGGAAAAAAACCCCAACAACCTAAAAATCCCCTGAAAGAAAACAAACCACAAAAAAAGAAAAAAAAAGAGCCCCCAGAAGCAAAGGGACGCTTGTTCTTTTATGAAGTCCTAAAAGGCTGCAAGACAATGGAATGAGCTAGAAATGAGAAGCTAACACAGGAATATTACTAATACCTCCACAATCTTGATGAAGCAGTCCGATATCAAGATATTCATCCTACACCTAGCAAACAGTGCCAAATCCAGAGCCTATGAGAATTACATCTCCATCATTTACAAATTACCCGTAATTTCTATTTACTTTCTGATTAGGAACTTTCAGGTCCATCTCACTAAACCCAACCCCCTGCCCCAATATTATGAAGATAATTTCAATACAGATTTTCCACGGTCTCAGTGCTTAATCAACTCAAACAATAAATATTAGTAAATTAATATGCTTCATCATGCCTGAGAAAGGAGAAAAGTTAGCATACCTTGCCAACAAGGTGAGTTAATGGAATGACCAGACAAGGAAGATGACTGTGAAAATTAAGGAGCCAAATGGCAACGGGATTAGAAAACTTCTCTTGCTTGTACTGAACAAAGCCTTGAAGGGAATTAAAATCAAGTTGTGAGAGAGGCTGCTACCTTTGACTCTAATTATGAGATTTTAATACTATTACTTAATTGACAGAAGAAATATAACCTTATTTTTTTATTTAGTAACAAAATCTGTGATTTATTTAACGTAAGATAATGACATTAGCAAAAAACACTGGCTATCATTTAAGTAGAAATTGAAAATCCACATCACAGAGTAAATGATCCTTTTTTTTTTTCCTTTTTTCTCAGTATGAATGGATAACAATATTGCTTTACCAAGAATTACCTTTAAGACTGTTTTGAACCTCTAACGCGATGTCGAGGGCATTAAACGGCAAAACTGGTTCACTGGCAATTTGCAAAGTCACTTGTCCTGTTAGCTGAAAAATAAAAAAAAAAAACCCAACAAACAGTCAAATAATTTCTACCATATTTCATAGCCAGCACTTCTTCATTATGTTGGATTTTCAGGGAAAATTAATAAAACTCCATAAACACATCTTTGTGAAAAAGAATATGACCTAGATCATTGCCTTTCTATTACAACATTAAAAGATGTTAAGATTACATCTTATGACCCCACACAAGAATTCCCTGCAGTATTATTTCTGTGGGCCTAGGTTACTGCAGGAGTCTCTGAAGGGCCTTTGTTTCACTTTGTTGTCAAATAAAACATTTCAACAGTCTAAAAACAGTAGTAAGGTTTATTATTTTACTTAGTTTTAGCTATGGGATTTTGAGGGTTCACCCAAGTAAAAAAAATCATAGACATAAATGAGCTTCGGGTCAAGCCCATGACTGAAGGTAAACTGACCTGAAAACCTAATGCCTTTGAAGAGATATGTGACAACATAATGCACACAGATGTACAACTTCTAAACTGGACAGGACACTACATTCTCTCAGTAACTTACAGAAAGAAATTCCCAAATGAGTGACAGGGAACTCAGTCTGCTCCAGACTAGACATTAACACCTGTCATGAAACTCAATGGCATGAATGCTTCTTTTTGACAGCTCCAGAGATGAGGCCAAGGACTGACTGGCCTGAGTGCTTTTTTTGTCACTTACGGAAGATCGGCTCTCCAGCTCAGGGCTTAGACATGCTACAGGGGCTGTATATTGAAATATGTCTTTCTGCTGAACTATACCTAGCTTGTGATTAAACAGAGGATTTCAGTCTCCAGGCTGCCAAGTCCAGCACTGTTCATGGGAGCTATAAAAACACAGTGACAAAAACATGCAAGAAGCTTTCATTCATCTTCTTCATATCTCGATATTGCAAAAGGGAAAAAATACCTGTAGGGCTGTGATCTAAAATGGAATGATGGCTGCAGGTGATGATGACCATATTGATAAAAAATGTGGACTGAAAAAAACCCATATTGTACAATACTTCCCAAGGTGTTGGGGGGGGGGGGGGGGGGATTATAACAATATCTATTCTTCAAAAGCAATATGGTAGTCGCTGTGTGGAAAGCAGCATTTTAATTCCACAATACAAAGTAGCAGGAAAAGACAGCAATCCTAAGCAATATTAAAAACAATACTACAGCAATTGAAAATGAAAACCATCTCCCAGGGAAGTGGATGAAAACAGGGTAATATCTGAAATACAAGCTTCCTGGAGAAAGATTAACAGAACCCCAACAACATTTCTCAGAAAGCATTAAGGAATGACGTGGCCACAGACTGATTTGGGTACAGAGAATGAGGGAACATGCTGTATATCAGGCTGCAACCCACATCTGAGCAGAGACATACTGTGAAGCTATTGAGATTTACCTCTAGAAAATACAATACTGCACAAGGCATGAAAAAAACCAAACAAACCCTTTGTCATACGTACAGTGAGAAAAAAAATAGAGGAATAATGACATGTCAAGCTGTTATCAGGAAAACTAAAGAACTAAGAGTGTACTTGAAGGAAGACAGAAAAATACTGTTTGTACACCTGTGCTAAAATATTACACTGCTAACCTCTCATGAAACTTTTCTCAAAAATTCGCAACTCCACAGGCCGTTACTGGTTGGAGAGCACTGTGTTTTCTGCCAGTGATTTTTCACAAACGTCTCTGGGTTGAAAATCGTTGGAAAACATTTGGCTTAGTAATATAGAGAATATTCTCAGGAATATTAGAAATACAAAAAGTAGAATTGTGAGGGCAAAGACAAATCTGTACAAAACTGTATCCAAACCAGGTTCACAGAATCCATTCATAAGCAACTGTAAAAAACCTGGTTCTAATCTTCTAAATGCCATGCAGAATCATTCCTCTTCCTCCATGGAAGTCTTCAAAGCTATAGCTGCCCAAAATATTAACAAGTAAGTTGCTACAGAAAAGCAACGTGTCAATGAAATAACATCCTATTAAAGAGAAGGCATTCTATGTAGAGCCCAAACTCACTGAATCCTAAATATATATACTATATATCACACGAAACGTTCAAATTCTTCCCTGACACCTAATTGCTGCAAAAGCCTTCACTAAACAGTAATGCAAGATACATAGTCAGAGATACATTTAAGGGAGGGACAAGAATATTGCTGCAGTGCTACTGATACTTCTCAATCTCTTACCACAAAATTTAAGAACACAAAAGTGTGGAAAAAATGTTTCCTTCCTGAGGCATGAAAGTGGCATTATAGAGGAGAACACTCTAGTATGCATCTTTCCTTTTCATCATTATCTTCGACAGAATCTGGCTTAATTTTTGTAAGTTCTTGCTTTATTTCCATTGCTTCCAAACCACTGTATTTTGCTTTGACTACGTAAGACCAAAGTTATTTTCTCTTTCCTATTCAAATAAAGTCATACTGTAAAAATCTTATGACTAACTGAAACATTTTGGAAACTTTATAGTATCTCTGAATGTAATACTGCAGAAATTTGTGTGTTAGTAAACAGGTAACAGTGTTTATTAAATCATATACTTCCTAGTCTAATCTGGAAGAAATCAATCACATAAAGCAAAGCTCAGAGCATTGATTTGAACAGAGTAAATAATAATGCTGCAGAAACATACATCAAGGCCACATAATGCAGCAAGACAGAAAAGGCTACTGATTTCTTATTTATAGTCTTATTTTTGGATATACCATTCCCCCGAGTACAACACTGAATATACAAGGAAAATAAAGACACACTTCTGCCCCGTTTTCCCTGGTGAAAAATGGTCCAGACTTACTATTGAATTACTAAAAGCAAGAATAACTTAGCAAGAGTAAAGACAACAATTTTCTCATAAAGTGAAATGCTAAAGCACAATAATGGATTTTATTCCCTTACAGGACTCATTACATCCCCTAACAACAACTTCTGAAATAATTTATACATAATAATATATACATACCACACAAAAATTGATGTAACATTTGCACAATCATGAAGACTAAAGAAAAAAAATAGCTCAAATGCTAATTAATTCTGAAAATCTTTTCTATATAATTTAAATTAAAAAATGAATAATGTTTCTACTGCGCTTGGGTTTACTTCAGTAAAGTAAAATGTATTTAATGAACTTCCAGTTACTTTATAGATAAATATTAATATAAAGCATAATAATTGTAGAGTTATACTGCAGTTCTTCACTATGAGGGTGGTGATGCCCTGGAACAGTTTGCCCAGAGAAGCTGTGGTTGCCCCATCCCTGTCAGTGTTCAAGGCCAGGTTAAGCAGGGCTTTCAGCAACCTGGTCTATTGGAAGATGTCCCTGCCTGTGGCTGGGGGTTGGAACTAGATGATCTTTAAGGTCCCTTCCAACCCAAACCATTCTATGATTCTATGTATATTGCAAAATAAATCTGAATATTCAAAATAGGTTTATACTGTGGTAACAATTTTTTCAAGGTCTTTTAACTTACAGCATATTATTCATATTTACTATTTTGCTATTACTATTTAGTAGGTATGAAAATATTATGCATGACAGAGATCAATCTGCTAGAATAAACATCAGCATACAGCGTGCAGGCAGTTTCTTTAACACAGTTCACAGGCCAGTCTTGCTTTTTTTTGTTGTGTTTTTTTATTTTCATTTTGCGTGATGTTTTTTTAATTTTGTGGGGTTGTTTTGTTTTGTTTTTTAAATCTAGTGGAATTTGAAACTGTGTGCTATATGTGGCCTGCACACTAGGTAAACCTCAGTGGGTGTATGTGCGGAGACATTTTTAGTGCTAAAATCTAACCAGACATCTCAGATCTCTTCATATGCCAAATTACAAACAACATAACTTAAAAAAACAGGTATTAACATGTTTATCCTTCTGTGAACACTGCTCTTCGATAGTGCTGTACTCCTGTTTTACCTCCTAGAATGAATTTGACACAAGTAATTGAAAATGAATTGTGCAGTGGCAACTCCTTTTAATTTCAAGCATATATCTGTGCAACATACTTTTTCATCCTTCCTGCATTCTGTAATTTTCAGGGTTTAATATATAACTTTATTCTATGTATATTAACAATACTTTACACTACTGATACCTGTGCACTTTCAGTCAAAACTAGCATACATGTGGCAGTTAATCTACCAAAAACATGACAAATATTAGAAACCAAATACTGTAACGGGGTAGTGTATTAGACCCATGTATATTCCCCACTACAGATTCAACAGAATTCTACATAAGAATCCCTGCTACAGACTCAATCTTTGCAACTGATCAGTGTGTGACACTGAGCAACTAGTTTGAACCCTGAGCCTCAACTTCCTTTGACATCCAGTATTACTTTTTCAAGTCACATTTGCTCTCATACCTCACACCTCTCCCTTCACACATTATCCATGCAGCTCATGGATGAGGAAAGAGCATGAAAAGATACTCTGCTGTTGAGGGTGATCAATAACAGTGTGTTGAAAATAATGTATCACTTTTTTTTTTTTTTTTTTAATCTTTTTTCTTGTAAAGGGGAATGAAAATGTTTAACTTTTGTGGCTGGCTGCTGCACTGCCTAATCTCAGGTGTTCATCTCTTTGCACCAAGGGATCTGTCTTTCCAAACATACTGACTAGAAGAACAACCTGCTGAGACCTTTTGACATTAACCCAAACATCAACTATGGTTTCAGTGCATGCACCCACATAAATAAGAAATAAACCTCTGAATGTACTAAGATCCCCATCTCAGTGCCATAACAGCAATCTCACATATCAGAATAATCAGCCTTCCCCAACCTCTCCACCCCGCAAAATTAAACTGGCATTTTTGATGATATGGGCAAATTTCCTGAATTTGCTTTCTGCTGATTTCCTTCTGTCCCTCTTGACTTCCTACAAGTTATCAATTTATTTTTAATTAAGCATGAGAAATTGAGTCTATATAAATGAAATCTGTGATTCCCTGGCAATAACATAATTTCAGCACCTAGCATTACTAG